CTTTCCATTCAAGGTGTAAAATGTCATTACTTCAACTGAGTCTCTTTTGTGAGGGTAAAAAAAGTGGTTCTTTCAATGCGAACTCTTAGTTATCAGCTCTGTTAATTAACAAATAGTGATAGAGGCTTCCTTACAAGAATACTTTTTTCCTCATCAATTTAGAACTCCAACTATGAGAGCATACAGCAGACTGCAAGAAGCATTGCTGAGCAAGCTCACGAGCTGGCGTATGATCCCACTTACATGTCACCCTTCGCACAGTTTGCATGTGACAATGGCTTGAACGTGAGAGGTAAGATTTTCTTTTCTCTTCCTCCCACTCTCGCTATCTTTAAGAAATCTTCAGCAAAGTAAAGCTCTGCTTAAAAATCCAATAGGAAAAGAGAGAATTAAGAAATGTGCTTGGCAACAGAGCAGCAGTGCTGTCAGTTTGGCAAGGACCCCGGTTCCTGACGCTGGTCATCCCAGGCCCCAGCCAGTCAGCAGCCTCCTGGGGGGAAGCAGCTGGAGTGCATGGAGCTCTGTGCACTGACTTCTGTTATTTTTTTTCTTTAATATGGATGCTGCTGCCACAAGAATCCAGCCTGACATAAGTTGTCCAGGCTCCCAGGAGAGCTGTGCTTGACCCTTTCCTAGGATTTGTGCATGGCTGTGGATTTTTGTTGTTCAGTTGTGGGATGTGATTTTCTGTTAAGGTCTTCCAGTCTTGATGCGTTTTAGTCGAGATTCTGCCAGCTGTTTGGATTTCTTTCTGAGCTTTGTACCATTAACCCCCAGCCCTGATCTCTGTTGGTTCTATTTCCTATGCTCTAGAAAAGTACTAATGCCTGGCAGAGTTCAGACTCCAGTCAAACGATGTTTTTTAATTAATAATTAGAGAGATCCTCATTATCCCTGTATCAAGAGGGCAGGATTTCCTGCAGCACCTTAAACGCCTTTCATAAAGGTTGATAGTAATGAATCTGCAGATCTCCCAAGTCCTGAGACCTCCTGTGACCTTCTGTGTAACCAAATACCCCGTGAGCTATTTCTGTGCAACTGCAGTGCATTGCAGCCTACTGAGTCTTGAAAAGTGATAGCTGAAAATGTTAGTAGCTTTTAGCAGCATCTCACTATTGCTCAAGAGGGGAGAGAGCTTTTTTGATCTTTTGAATGCTCCCCTCAGCTGCATTTTGGAAAGGAAGTAGAGGAAGCGTTCTCTGCTTCAGATTTTTAATATTTAAACTAGGAGCTTTCCATGGGGCAGCACCACAGGCTATAAGAAGACAACCCAGCGTGGTTTGACATCATGCTTTTATTCTTATATTACAGGGGGGAAACCAGATGACATCACCGTCCTTCTTTCTATCGTAGCTGAGTACACAGACTGACGTGCCTGCAGTGCCAGCTGCCGATGTGTTCATTATCCCCGAGCTCCCAGCTTCACACGTGTGGTTTCCTGCTGGCAGGATGGCTTTCTTCCTTTGCAGCTGATCTCTGCAGCCAGTTTGCGAGCTCGTTGCCTGTCTTGAGACACAACTGAAGTCCTTGTTAAGAACCACTCTCGTAGTGCACTGGTCTCTGTCTGCCAGCAAGAAGTGAAGAAGCAGCTCAAGGCTTGAAGCATGTCTTTCAGAGCTTAGCAATTGTCCATAAAAGGGGGAGGATCAATCCCACATTGTTATTGCATTTGAAATGTGACTTTCAGATGAGTAGAATTGGTTTATCATCTTTCAGCCTAGATTCAATAGCTAAAACCTCTACAAGAGGGCATATTATTCTATCTGCTAGAAACATTCACTGTTCGTTAAAGGGTATGTTACAGAACACAGTTTCATAAGCGTAGTCTTGTTACAGTGGTAGCTGAGGTCTCGTGTTCCTAAGCTCCGGTTTTCAGGAGGTTTGTAACTGCTGTAAACATTCTGCTCTTGCCATACACGGTGTCAGCCTAGGAGCCTTTTCTAGTTCGGAATTTCAAAAACATACTTTAGGTCAAGTTGTATGGATGCAAATGTGTTTTGTGATTTCAGGTGCTTAACCGTGATCTTAAAGAGTTCTGCAGATCATTCGTCCATAATGGGGCTGGTATCTGGATGTTTTGGCTGTGGATAACTATCTTTTTTTTAAACAAAAACTATAACTTTGTCTAAAAAAAAAAACAAAAAAAAACAAACAAAAAACCACCACCAGAGATGGTCGAAGCTGAGGTCCTTCAAAGCATTTTAACCCATCTGACCAGCACAGGTGATATGGCGTCAGTGCTGCAGCAGGAGGCTGCACAGAGAGCAGATCAGCCTCAGCTCCGAGCATCGTTACTTTGGTACACAAATCTTGTTAACGAAACATCATTTGTCTGAATATTGCCACTCTGCAGCACAGCACGTGCTGCACCAAGTGAAGGCCAGACGATCCTCGTGTTTTCTGGCTCCCACACGCACCTCTTTGCTTATGCTGTGGCAGCAGCAGTACAGAAATGGAAACCATCAAAGAAAAATCAGCAAAACGCAACATTTCAGAAACTAAAGCGTAGGGTTTTCAGAATGAACCTTAATGATGTTTACAGTTATCTGACAGCCACTTTGCAATATTACATTTCCTTTGGAATCACAGCAGCTCGCAGTTGTTCCCCCCGTTCCAGCAAGCTTTCCTTTCTATTTTGAGGTTCATACAAATAGCTGATAGCTGTAAAGATATATATATTTTTGGTCAGTTTTTCATTAACTTTTTTGCTGGTAGAAGAGTATGTAGAAATAAATTAAAGCCATGTTTTTATATATAAAAAGTCGGGTAATGTCGATGTCTAGGTGAGTGCAGTTAAACTCGGTCAGTAAGCAGTCTTACCTGCTCTCAGGAGGAGATCTTTACTACCTGGTTTATTGCATTAAAACTGTTTAAGTTTGAGGTTACCTCAACTTGTTTAAAGAATTTTTGTGGACTTGTACTGTATATTTGCGTAACTATGTCGAGCTTTTATTTAAGATCATTTAACATGTACCATGTACATGTCATTTTACTCTATTTCAATGCATCGTGCTTGTAACAGGCATTTCATTTATAATAAGTGATTAATTTGGAAGCTCTTCAGTAATTTATCTGCTATTCCTAAATTGGCGTAATGTTACGTATCTATTTTAAATCACCTTGTAATTACTTGTCAAAATGCCTTAACTACCCTAACTTGACCAAAATCTTATTTTGGTGAGGGTATGGGGAGGATTATGTTAATGAAGAAAAACCAATTAGTTTTGCGATCCGTGGAGCAGTGAGTGGTGGGTAACTTTGCACAAATGTCAGTCTTTGTTTTTTAGAACTGAACAAGCTGGATCCTGGCTTCTCGTTGGAAGGAATGTATTCATGCTGCAGTACAGGGCTTTGTTTCTCGTCCTTGGGAGGGGTGTTTCCCTCTCACATCTGGGTATCTTCACGTTTTGTTCTTCAGTATTGACTGTCGTGTTTCTTCACTAGAGCTGATTTGATCAATTACTCTTTCCCCTGAACTTACCTTAAACGATGCCCTTGTAGACCCGGACTGTTTTGCACTCTGACTCCTCGCTCTCACTACGCTCATTTCCAGCCTTCATTTCCCCCCCCCCCCCCTCCACTTTTTAGAATTATAAATTGAGAAACGTACGTGGATCAGAGAGATGAGCACAGCAGAGGTGTGTGAGGTGCTGCATGCTCTGTGCTCTGCCTCTGCTGGTCCAGGGCTGGAATCCTCCACCGGAGAGATTCGGCCGCCTCCCCGGAAGCGAACTGTGCTGCCTGCTGGGTTTGAGCCTCTGCCTTGCTGTTTGTGTTGAAGCAGTTCGTAGCTGAGCGGTGTCTGTTAAGCCATCTGCCTCACATCACATCCTGATTTATTTTTTAATAAAGAACAAAATTGGATTTTTATTTACAATTCATGAGTTTATCCCTCACTGGACACACCAAAGACCAGTAAAGCTGATAGCTTTTCCATCTGTTTATAAAGCAATACTGTATTATAAAGAATTGATATTTTTATCACGCGCTTGTTTTTGTTTTGTTTTCAGATATGCACTCGAAACATATCAAACTAATTTCTTCCTATGAACTTAAGCTGTCTGCGCACAACAAATTTTTGGAAGAGGAAATGACAGGGCCCATACTATCACAGTAACTTTAAACGATGCACGAAGCAGGAACGCTTCTGAGCAGTTAGGTTTTGTGTGTTGGTGAGAGGAGGGTACAGGAGAGCTGTTCCGTAGCATGGGGACATGAAGGAACGGCCTCAGCTGCCACGGAACGTTCCTGTTAGCTGACAGGAGCTGGCTGTTGTGGAGCAGGGATGGGAAGGGAAGGGGGATCCCGGTGTGTGCAGGAGTTGGGATTTCTGTGGCTGTGTTACTCGGTATATGGGTGAAAAAAGGGCTAAGATGTGAAATGGAAGAGTCTGTGGTTCCGTGCTACTTGGACAGCTATCTTTGGGAGACATACAGTGTACAGTTTCTCTCTACACTTTGTGCTCATAAAGAAGGTATGGCTGAGGAGAAAAAAAAAAAACAAGATTTTGGGACCAGACAGGACTGGGTGAGGGAGATGAGAGAGGTGAGGTAAAGCATTTTGGGAAGGAATTTCCATCTCTCAGCAATGGGCATCCTTTCTCTAGGGAGAAACCAGACTGTGTGTGTAGAAAAGGACTGTATGAAGTAGTTTCTTCCAAAGATAGCTGAAAAAATGAAGCAAATCCGAGTCTGTATCTAATGAGGATGCTTTTTTTGTTGTTGTTAAATGAGACTATCATCTATGCTTACCTAAGAGGCAATTATGTGAATTTCATGTCTGAGGTATAACTTATGCAGGAATAGTTCTGTAAATACATTTAAATGAATTGTAAAGATATTTAATAAATATAGTATTTATACTAAAATGTGTCTATTTTAATCAATGTTGTCTGCAGAAACTGCTAATGGTACAAAGCACGGGTCAGGTGCCTGCTGCACCACGCACCCTTGGTGGCTGTGGCTGTTCTTGTCCTGTGCCCTGCTGCTGCTGTCTGTTGCTGACTCAGTGCAAGTGATGAGGGAAAGGAAAAGAACATTCTAACCTGAAACACCAGAACCCTTAAACCCAGGCTTCAAATTGGTTATTGCATCACTTTTATTTTTTAAACACATTTTTATGCCAACTTTCTTGCACTAAGCTAAGCACTGGTTCTACAAGCTTCTGCCGTAATACCAACAACCATACAAGCAGTAATTTGGCTGTACTGGAGCGGGTGGTTTATTGCAGTGCTTGTAGCTGTACAAGAGCAGCTTTGTTTGTCTGAAGCTCTGACACAGCTGACTTCTCTTGTGAGACTGAAGAGCTGGACATACAAAGCAGTGTATCAGCAGGATATACAAAACTAAATGACCTAACTTTGTGTTAGGACAGCATCCTCCTTTTAGAATGATCAGAATACAGGTGCAGTGAGTTTCCATTAAGTTCTAACTCGCCTAAGAAGTTTAGGATACTTTCATAATAGAATTAAACTTTGTTCTAAAGCTAAAAACAGCTCTACGTGCCAAATACATGCTTAACTTTCAGGGCAGCCCACGATAGTCTGAGATTCATTCATTCCACCTTACTGGAGAACTTGTGAGCTCTGCGTCTTGCCAAAATCCTCTTCTGTGTCACTAGCTGTTGCTAAACTGTGGAAGGCATGACTGACGGCGTCCTTCTCCTTAGAAGAGACTGCTCCAAAGAACAACGAATGAAACTGGAAAATGCAACAATCACAGGAGTAAGACACTGAATGTGAAACAGAATTTGAGGGCTAATTATTTCTGCAGATTGGGACTATGTGTAGTATTCAGCTTCTAAATGGCATCTAAGGTATAACACTGTTTTATCATAGAATGTAAATGTGATTGGGAAGGTCCTCACCTTGTGATAAGGAGACTCTGCTTCCAGCACTGCTTGGTCATCTGTCTTTGTTACTGCTGTTCCTCCTGTGCCTGCAGTACCTCTGTATGAGACTGGGGGAACACTTTTGACCTGTTTTGCCAAGGGACTTGCAGGTGCCCCTGACCCTGTGTTCTGTGCCTGCCCGTTCCATCGCGGCTTTTTGGAAGCAACTGCTTCAGCGCTGCCATCCTTATCAAAGCATTTGTCCACAAGTGGCTTTGAGCTGAATCAGAGGGAATAGGTCAGATTTGTAACATCCTCCTGTGTGCCTTTGTTAGGAGGTCTTTGTGCTAATGGAAGGCACTACAGCTTTAGCTTAGCTTCTCCACAACCCCTCTCACTGCAACAAAGCCCCATGGAGATAAAGCTGCAAGAGTATGGAGTGCTCCCCCTTGCACCAGAAGTCTCTGTGCTGTTCATGTTATCAAGAAACGGCGCCCAAACTCTCGGCTCCTGGCTCACCGTCTGCTGCAGAAGGGGTGCAGCAGTGCAAGTAAGGAAAATGATCTGTGATCAAGAAGGGAGCATCTGGCTAAACCTTTCCTGTGCTGACAGGTAAGATGTGAGGTGCGTTGGTGCTCAAGCAACCAACTGGCTGTCAGAGCTGTGGCACTGCCTATACGAGTAGCAGACATAGCTGCGAGCTTCAGGGTAACAAATGCACTGATGGGGAGGGAGTGGTCTAGCTGTCGTGCTTTGCATCTCAAACTATTTCAATCTTTTTCTGAATCTATCCAGTGCACAGCTTTCCTGTGAATAAAGGCTCCAGGATAAGTACAGTGCTTATGAATACCCTGCACATCACTGAGTAGGAAAATCTTAAACTCAGCTGTTTCAGCCTGCTGTGGCCAGTCTGCCTCCCTCCCCCACCTCTGCAGCCTGCTGTTACCTTTCCTGCATCTGTGAGAAGCACGCAGTCTCCTGGGAAGCCATCTCACTTCTGATGTCAGACAGCGTAGCCAAAATAAAGCTGGCTTCCAGCACTGTGTCTTCAATGCTGAAAGCAACTGGTCTAAACGCAAACAGCCACGTACAGGGGTCTCGTTAAATGCTTTGTGCTCAGTTAGAAACTACTTCACCCCATGCTGCAGACTAATTAGAAATATAACTTGTAGCCTGACATGAATATCTGACTGTTACAGTTAAATGCTTGAGTAACCTGCAGATCAAAACAGACAGGGTGCTTATATCTCAACCATTTCCACAGGCAGCTCCAGAACGTACTTCCCAGGCATGTCCAAGTGGATGGAGACAGGAACACTGGTGGCTTCTGAAAACGCCAGCAGTCCCTGAAAAGAAGGGGTGAGGGGTTGAGTACTATTTTAAAAGTGGCAGAAGATTAATGTTAGAATGCAGCTGTTGTTTATTGGCAAAAAAGGTGAAGTCTACTTTAAAGGGAAAAAGGCTACTGCTGCTAGATCACGGTTTCTGCTTTCTCTGCCAGGAGCTGTGCAGGTAGAATTACTGTGGCCGTGACGCTTACTGCAGCAGTGTTCATCTTATCTCAGCATTGGGTAGATGGGGTTTGTTGTTTTAAGAGTTTCTTTGAAGATCCTTTCCAAAGCCATTCCTCAGCCAGCTGGTGAGATAGTGCTGCTGGCCGGCAGGCCTGGTGGAACACCAGAGGCAGGGATCGTTCTTCTGTGTTATCCAGGTCAAAGTAAGGGAAAACAACAAACTCTTAACCTACCCTCAGTTCTCTAAGGCAGAACGTCACTTCAGAATCGACTCCAACTTGAAAGTAGTCAAACTCATCTGGACTCAGCTGTATTTCGGTGACCATTGTCTTTGAAAAGTCTGTTTGAAATAACAAGGCTGGAGTGAAACCTCAACAATACGATTATAATGATTTTTTATATCGGCAGCATCTCAATAAATAATTGGCTAATAATAAGTGGCTAGTAATAGTACATGTCCAGCTTATTTACATTCATTTTTGTAGTTAGGTAAAACAAAAAATCCTGAAATTATTTACAGCGCTCTCTGTGGATTTACGTGGCTTTTAACAGAATTTATTTCATATTCCACAATGTGCTGTAAGCCCAGCACTGCTGCCAGCCTTGCGAATCTGCTCTCCTACAGGCACTACTGCTCTGGAAGACATTTGGGAAGACCAAAAGCAGAGTGACTTTAACAGATGGATCACAATTGCTGGCAACCTTCAGAGGACTACAAACGAGGTCTGAGGTTATTTGTTCTAAACTGTCATTTTTTTCCTGGTATTATGTAAGTGAAAATGGAAAATAAGCTCTTCAGCATCAGGTGTTGCTCACTGTCATTCAACTGCTCGTTAATTATTGTCAGGTGTGTGAAAAGAAAATCAGAATGCCAGAATGCATCACAGTCTCAGAGGCAGTCAGAGCTCTGTCAGCACTGCACTCCTGTCCAGCTCTCCTCCACAGCCTGACTGCTGCACAGCACTACCAACAGATCCCACGTTTCTGTTTCTCAGCCCCCAACACACCACTGCACGTTCACACACCCCTGTGGGGTTCTTAAAACTGTAGAAACAAACGCCTGTAAGAGAGCTGCCAACTTCTATGAGGCAGAGCCACCGCCTGCAGCTGAAAACAAGTCTCGACAGCTGCCACCTCTTTGGAAAGGACACCTGAACGTGGAACACAATCCATCACCAGATAACGCGCTCAGGACGTGTTTTGTTTCAGTGTGTACAGAACATTTGCTGCAGGCAGCGCTTCGCATCGCATGCGACACGACAAAAGCAAAATGCCTCCAATTCCTTCTTCCTCTTCTGCCATCGACGCCAGACAAGTATTCCTAAACCCCAAGTTCTCCAAGGTACATTAAACCCAAAGGATGGCAGTATGAGCGGCGTTCCTTTGTGTTTTCTGTTTCCTTACCAGTGTCTTCCTCAGTGTAACTCTTGAAGCAAGCCCTCGTTGGAGTAACCGATAAGGTGACTTCTTCTTGACTCGTTGGAAAGTGAACCATTACATCAGTCAGCAGCCTATGAAGATGAATTTAGCACTAAAATGATTTACATGAGACAAGTCATTGTCTAGCAATGGCAAAGGTGTGGATTCAAATCGTGGACTATGTGCTTCTCAAGCTGGCAGCAGGATTAATGGCACAACCACCCCTGATCAAATCCAGCTCCTGAAGCTGTTATGTGAAATATCCAACATCACCGCAAGGGATTTAGCAGCAATTCACCATTTCTGAGTGTGGGCCCTACCCACATTTTGGTCATGTTAGGGACAGCTGGAGCAGCATTGTCCTCTGGATTCTTGTTATTCTTTTCCCCAGAACAAAACATTTGAATGTTCATTACCTGGAGTGGGCTCTGAGGACATTTGGACACATGTGCTTTGCAAAAACAGCCTGCAATGGGTCACATTCTTGAAAAGCCAGATTATGTGTTTTTACAATACCTAGGTATAAAACATGTGAATGAAAATCAATGCTGGTCTAGAATTCTAACTTTTTAATATTAATTGCTCTTCCAAGACATCTCAACAAAGGAAATAAATGACTCACTCTAGCTGTGTAGCAATATCTCACCCACAAATAGAAAACCAAATTCTGGTGCCCTCTGCCTTCCTTCATCCTCCTCGTTATATCCTCAAGTCTCTGACATTTTTAAGAATTCACAGCAAATGACTTCACAGCAACAGACGCAGGAAGAAAACCTTCAACATTTAATTGTTACAGCAATATAAATGCTGGTGGAAAACAAAGGACAATTAACAAGTACACGTAATTACTGACCGGATAAAAGTCAGTCTGGGAAATGCTGTTATAACTGCTTTTTAGCAAGGCAATGTCACGACATAAATTATGATGTGAAGAGGCTGAAAGCGTTTGGCATAATGTCCCATCAGTGACACTCAGTTAATAATTACACCTCGTCCTGCTGTCAGACTGCTCCTGGTTGTGGAAATGCACTCTATGTATCACGTACCATTTCTGCAGAGGAGCTGAAAAGTTATGTGGTGATCTTTAGCATTTGTGTAAATGCTGCATTTCTCCACGTGCCTTTCCAGCACGTTTACACATCTGAATATAGGAAGAACTGACTGAAAAAAAGCACACAATCAGTGCAGAAGTTACTCTCTAAGACATTTTGCAATGTTATTTCTCTCATGCACTTAATCCCCAGCTCCTGCTTTTATGACTGCTCTGTAAGCAGAGCGCAGGCTGCTGGTGTTGATCTTCGCTGCCCTCACCCACCCACAGCCCTGTTTGCAGAACAGTGTGTCAATGTTCTCCAGCTCACGCTGTTCTCAAAGGCTATAGGGGAAACCCTCATCAGACAGAAACACAGCATTCCTTCACCCAAGATGAGGCTGATTCAGACTTTGGAATCTGCAAGGTACAGCTCAGGACTACACCTTTTAAATAATTAAACATTAACACTCCCTTCTGCAGAACTGCTCAGAAGCCCTTCAGTTTAGAGCAACCTGCATGCCCATAGAATCCTCCCCTACCACTTCGATTTGAAAGTGGGCTGACTTCCTGCTTTCAAAGCTGCATGTAGCAATGTGTTAAACTGTACCTTAATGATCAATTTACATGCAAGTGACAACTGCTTTTCTTTCTGACAGGGTTGAGGCGCAGCTGTGCAGCAGTAATGTTGAAAAAACATGGATGAGAAGAAGACATACGCATATGCTGACCGAGAAGAATTCACTGATCTTAAGGCAAGCTGAAAATAAATGCAAAGTAATTCATTAACTCAGAGCTGTTTCGTATTGAGCCTTTAACAAAAAAGCCATCTCTGTACCTTCAGTGTGGTATCTTCAGAGCCACACCTAAGCCACAAAACCTTTATGTGTGTACATCTCCAAACAAATCCAGATGCATCACTTCTACTGCCGTGTTCAGACTTATCCCCTTTGTTATTACCGGTCAGAAGCCCCGGCCCTTATGCAGACATGGGAACCCAGTGCAGGGATGTGTGAGTTAAGCCTTGAAGTGCAGATTACCCAGCCCTTAGAAGTTGCATTTAAGGTATGTGAAAAACTGGTGCCTATTCTAAAACAATCCATGAGATACACAAATAAGCAGAGACTTTTGGCACCTACACAACATCTCATTTACAAACAGTATTTCTACTTCTGATGTACCAGCCCCACAGCATGTTGAGCTCATTGCTTTTAATTAAGAAAGCTCTAGAGAAAAAAACAATTCTGAGGGAAGTGGTGTCTGATTAACAGGAGCCATTCTTCCTGCTGAGTCACACCAGGGCAAAAACATGTCATTTAAAGGCAATTTCTGATGTGAAGCAACACATCAAACTTCTGATTCGTGACAATGGGAATAAAACCCTTGGTATTAATCCGGATGTCCTGGATGAGCGTTAGGTAACTAAATCCCCAGGAATATCAGGGACAGAGGAATGACCCTTCCGTGATATCATCTGCATAATTACAATCACAGAAAGCATGGCATTTGTCCACCTTGAAAGTGGAGGGAGGAAACAGAATGCAGCTCAGACTGAAGAATACCTGCAGGAAGAACTAACACCTCAAACAGTTTCCAACAAGACTTCAAACTGTCAGTAAATCCGATGTACTTACACCTCTGTCTATGGGGTCAAAGCAGAACTCATCGCTAACCCGCGCCATGGCATGCACTGCTCTCCCAAACACTGCCAGGGAAACAGAACGGCATGAGATGCATTTCAGGTTCTATTGAAAAACAAGTTACACCTCGTAACTTTCTCCAGAACAATTTAAGGGAAAATGTTAGACATTTCTCATGCTTTTCCAAGGGAAATGATGGTGTGGGGGAAAGCACTGCTCTTTTTTAGTGTCACTAACACCTCTGTGTTTCCACCCAGAGGAGCACTGTGGATTTGGTGTGTCCCTTTGCAGCTGTACAGCCCAACATCACCAAACAATCTCACATTGACGGCACAAAATGCTGCTTTGGTCTGAAATGTCACTCTGTAGATGGCCATAAGACTGAACAAGCAGAACCCTAAGAAGCCCACAGAGAACCTGCTCTCCGACTTTACCACAAGCTCAGAGCTCTGTGAGGAACTCTCACAGCGTGGTGCCACGGGCAACGGCTCCTCTGCCCCAAACCCTGCTATGGCAGCCGCACCCTACTTAGGGAAGGCTCTTCACTCTGCCCAGACGTGCCACCACCTCCCCTGAGGTAACAGGTACCTCTGAGGTGCGTCCCCCCAATGACACACTTCATAGCTGCCCGCCCCGCGCCCTCTCGCCTCACGTAACAGAAAAGGCGGGAAACCCCGCTCAGAAGAAAAAGACCCGGATGTAACCGCCGGAGAAACGCGTTTCCCGCTCTTTTGGACTTACGGTGGAGCCGTAGCGGAGGGGAAGTAGAGGCTGTCTGACTTCCGGGAGAAGCCGCCTGACTTCCGGGAGAGAGCGCTTGACTTCCGGGAGTGGCTTCATCGGGCGGTGCGCTGCCGAGCAGGATGGTGAGCGGAGCGCTGGGTCTCGCCTTTGGGCTGCGATGCTCCTGAGGTGCTCCCGCGGCAACTCCAGGCGGCCCAGCGCCGACGGCGGCCCGAAGGAGGCCCCGCTTTGTGTCGGTCGGCGCCTAAAAATCCGCCTGTGGCCGAACTGAGGGAGATGGAGCGGGGAGGGAGCAGCGGGGGCCGTGGGTGGAGAGCAGCGAGGAACCGTGTGTCGTTGTTGTTGCTTAATTTTATTTTTACCGTTTGACGCTGCTTTCATAACATCGACAATTCATTAATTATGATTTGCCTATTCATTTGGCTCTGTTTTCTTTTCTGTTGCTTTCCTTGGTTTAACATTGATCACGCATCGCCCTGTTTCCCATTCCCCTGTCTGCAATCAACTCCTCCACCCGCTCAGGCCGGGCACAGAGTAAGTTCCGTCCCGGCGCTGGGGCTGCGGTGGGGCTGGGGCCGCTGCTCACATCCCCTCAGCTCCGGATGTAACACGCTTCCATGCTGTTAGGTTTTGTGGATGGAGCCCACGGAGCTGTTTTTTTTTTTTCTTAATTATTATTATTTTATTTCTTAATTACCAGGAGCTCAGATGTGGTTTGGGAAAATCTGGGGCCTGCCTGTTTGTTCAAGGGAAAAGGTCTTTGAGCTTCGTTGGGGTTTTGTGGAAGTGGCAGCAGTTTGATTAGACATCAAATGCAGAGCTGCTATTCCATGGCCCAGACCTTTAACCATCAGTGAGTGCATCTGTTTAGTGCCACTTTAATCAGCAATGAGACATTTTCAATTAAAAATAGGGGGGAAAGGCCTTCACAGCCACCTGAGTCCTCTATGCATCTTAGCGTGGCTGCTAACATAACGACAGCTGCGTGGCTTAAAAATATAAGGTAAAAGCAAGTATTAAAGAAGGTAAATGTGGTTACTGCTGCATACATCAGTATATCTGTGTATACAGACTGTCTATTTGCAGACAGATCTGGTGGCTGTTAGTTTAGGACTGGAAGATAAGCTTTTAGGAACTGGCTTACTAACAAAGCTTTTTAATTGGAAGATAAACTCAATTAATAAGGGGTTTTAGTCAAATCAATGGGGTGACCATCTCTAAATCCACTGGGTTTAATGTAGTAGCATTACGCCCCATGCTGCATAGAGCTTTTCATGCCCTTCTTGCAAAATTAATTTATTGCTACTTTGCTTGCATTAATTATTTTCTCTATTAGTGGACTTAAGACTGTAGTTTAACGTTATACATCTTAATCTGGTTGTGTAATTTTGAAGACCCCCTTAAATTTATGTTCTCATTGCATCTGTAGAACTGAAGCTCCAAATACATAGACCTGGTAACAGAAACAGTGGATGCAGTAGTCCAGGTTATTTTTTCTGCAGTGTTCTCAAGGGTTTTGTGCTTTTTTTTCCCTCTTCATTTTGTTAGTCTCACTATCCTATGATATGTGTTCAGAACAAGCTTCCTGTTCTGATTAACTGTTAACACATGTGACAAATTTGCTATTTGTTATTACTATTTTATAACTTAAGTAGAAAGGAGCTTTAAAGGGATGTGACCACAGTTCAGCCAAGTCTGTGCTTGAGAGCATCTGGTACAGATGTCTGATATCTTTTCTAGTTTAAGGGGAAAAAGGAAGTGGGACAGCTTATGGTAGTTCCCAATTTTGTGTAAGTCACATCAAGTAGTAATGCAGTTCTTCTGTTACACTTTGCAATGACTTTCAGCAACAAAATCACAAAACCTCTGCAGGTTTGTAAGGCTTTCCTCTGGGTAGCATTCAGTATTAGTAAGGGCCCCTGTTTTCACTGAAATATGGAAATATTCCTTTATTTAATTCTTACTTTAGTAGCTTTTATATCAAAATACAATTGCGAAACAGAAGACATTGTGGTGCTTTTTGTTGCCTAATAATTCTCATCTTAAGTATCTGTGATGGCTTTTCTTTCCTGTCATGATGCCCGTTCAGTTGGTGTTAGTGTTAGGAGATCTTCACATTCCACATCGATGCAACAGCCTCCCAGCCAAGTTCAAAAAGCTGCTGGTTCCAGGGAAGATCCAGCACATCCTCTGCACGGGAAACCTCTGCACCAAGGACACTTATGACTACCTCAAGACCCTGGCTGGGGACGTTCACGTTGTCAGAGGGGACTTTGATGAGGTAGTGACCTCTTTTGGTGGTGGTATTTTGTGTTCAAGGCAGTGGTTGAGTTACTTGTACTTCTAAGTAAAAAAGTGGGCAGTCTGAGCTTATTTAGTGCTAAGAGTGAAAAGTAAACCGAGTAAAAGGGTTCGAATTAATGAGTTGCAGTCAGTGTGATTAAAACTGAATTGGGCACTGAGCTAAGGCTAAGACTAGCAACCAGGACCTCCTGTTGTCTCTCTCTGAAATTCCTGGCATCTTTACCAAACTCTTGACAGTGCTTATGAAAGCAGTAGTGTGGCTCCCACTCTGGGGCAGCAGAACCAATCAGACTTTTAGGTTTCATCTAGTGCTTTTTTTTTTTTAATAGATGAATCTGTACATCTAATCAGTTTGTAGGGCTTAATTAGCTTATTTTGCTTTTCTTTTTTTTTTTACTTCTGATTTTTAGAACCTGAATTATCCTGAACAGAAAGTTGTAACTGTTGGACAGTTCAAAATTGGTCTGATTCACGGCCACCAGGTTATTCCTTGGGGTGATATGGCCAGCCTGGCACTGTTACAGAGGCAGTTCGATGTGGACATCCTCATTTCAGGACATACACACAAATTTGAGGCGTTTGAACATGAAAACAAGTTCTATATCAATCCAGGATCAGCTACAGGAGCTTATCATGCCTTGGAGAAGTAAGTAAAACATGAGAAACAGCTGTGGGATATTTCTTTTTGATAAGAAAACTTGTTCAGGTTGGGATTTGCCCATCGTTTAAAAATGTAGCCTTTAGCAGAGGAGGACTCGTCGTCCTTGCTGAGGCTCCTGGCCTGAAACGGACGACTGAAGTCCTTAAAGCTTCAGATCTGATGTACTGTGCTTACAAAACTCACATCAGTTTTTCCCAGGAGATTCTTGCTAAGAAGTCTGACAGTGAAACACCATTAAGGTTATTTTATACACGCTCTCAATTCATGCGATGTTTTTTTTTCCTTTCTAGCAACATCATCCCGTCATTCGTGCTGATGGACATCCAGGCTTCTACAGTAGTGACGTACGTCTATCAGCTAATTGGAGATGATGTGAAAGTAGAAAGAATTGAGTACAAAAAATCTTAGAAGATATTTGCTTGTGTGGTATTTTTACTGTCTCATTCCAGAACTGCATGTTACTGCAATCCTTCCTTACTAGTTTACAGAACTGCACTTAATGTTTAACAGCTTAGCAGTGTAACTTCTTGGTAATAACTTTAAAACATTGTTTTCTTCTTTTCTATGTATGAATTGATTTGTAAAATATATTGCAGTGCTGTTCTTTCATGTTGTCATAAATTTCACTTCATAGAAAAACAAGCCTTTATGAACCGTTGAAGAAAATGCAACAGTTGCACTTGGTTTTGAGATGTCTGCCAGTACTTTCATTTGGTAATGCTTATCACATGTCACCAGAGCAGTGCATGGAGCTTTCAAAGAAGACTGTAAAAGGCTCGAATAAAAATAGCAAGGCCCCTGGGAGGCGTGTTTGGTTTGCTTCAGAATCCATCTGAGGTTTGGATTTCTCATTCAGTATCATGTAGTCCTTTAATTGGATGTATTTTTGAAAAAACTTGGAATGAACACATACCTTGGAGTAGTAATTTCACTGTAGGAAGCTGAACCTGAGTTGTTTTGTTACTCAGAGCACTGCTGTGCTTTAATGAATGACTGTCCCATTAAATCTGTGAACAGTGATGAGCTTTCCTTTATTTATGGCTTATATTTGATATTACATCTACCCACTTGGCTTTGTGTAAAAAGGTTTTAAATAATGTAATTCCATACAGCACTTGTACTGCTGCCAAAGGCTAAGAAGTTGGTTGTTGAGGAAGGCTGGAGCTTTTGTCTCTCCTAGTCCCACGTACCTGCAGGAACTGAATGTATTTTAACAGCTCTTGCTCCTTATGACTGCTGATTTCCCAATATAAATAAAGTTGTCTCTGCACAACATCTAGAATTTAGAATGGTGGCCTGTCTCCTTTGCATATGTTGTCCTTGGCAGTAAAAGAAATGGTAGTGAAGTGTGAGCAGTAGTAGTGAAGCACAGCAGTGAAGGCTGTGCTGTAGTTGTCATGAAAGTCCATAAAACCCAAAGGATCAGCTAGAACCTACAGCTCTGTGTTGGTAACTTTGGCTAAACACCTTCTATTTGAAATGAACCTGCTTTGCTTACAAAAAAACCTCAGTGTTTGAGCTTGGTAACTCAGACACTTTGGCTGCTATTTCCTGCAGTGAAATACATGCTCCTTGAATTCTGCATGTTTTCAGCAGGAAAAAGAACATCACCAACTTTTCTTGGCAAATTTATCTGTACATCAAAGCTTATAAAAGACTTTAAGGTCAATTTTGATATTAAAGTTGGTTTATTTGTGCTCACTGTAATTAAAATCACAATTTGTATATTTTACATGAAGCTGTCTATAAACTATATTTTACATGAAGCACAATGCTTCCAGTTTAAAACTTGATCACAATTATGTCAAGTTATGTCTGCATGAACGAAATCTTAGTGATCCTAACAGCAGACTTCAATTATTAGAGAAATAATACAGAAATAAATGAAATAAAGTTAATCCTTCTTAAAGTCAAAGTGCAGAATATGAATGTTGCTATTGTATGCAAATAGGAGCTCCTGCTCTAAATCAAACTTCTTTTTTTTTTTTTTGCAAGGGACAGCTTATGGAAACACTCTAGAACAGATGAAAGGAAAAAGAAAAAGATGTGGAAAGCTAGGGCCAGCTTTTGGTAAAAGCAGTGAGGTTTTAGTTCAGAGTTTACTTGACCAGGATGTGC